TGACAAGCTTAACAAAATACCGGCGAGTTAAAAAAAAACACAAAAAATTCTGGGGGCGGGGTGGATAATTCTGCAGGGGCCTGGCCCCCTTGGCTACGCCAATGACTATTGTTTGTTATTTTTTTTCCCCCACGCGAGGGTTTTTTCTCACCAAAGTAAGTTGACATAGTGTTATAGACAACAAGTGCGCGAGTCAGGAAGCCATTAATCATACGCCGAGCGCTTTGATTTCGGTCCAGCTTTAACCCATCATCACCAACATCAGCAAAATCATCACCACTATCGGCACATCATACCATCGATAGTAACAACGAAATTGCCTACCGAGTCGACCGAGGCACACCAGCTACGAGGTTATTGACCCAACGGGTATTGGCTCAAACAATTGCATCTCTCCAGTCTGCTGCCGCCTCAGTGTAGAAGGTATATCGTGTCGCTCTTGTTCTGTTCTCACTAGTATCATAGAGGTAAGTCTAAGACTAGAAGGTCCGGAAAAAACGTGCTCAACTTTTTGGCTCAGCTCTGGTATTCTCTTCGGTCCCAAGCTAATCGATTCACCCCTCGAAACATAGGAAAATCCAATAACCCCTTATTTTATCTGTCAAACTTTCATAGCGAATCAAAACAAACATAGTGTAGTACTAGAATTTCGACTAGAATGGGGTTAGTTAATCGATTTGCTTGGGGCCAATAGGCTAGTCAAGTAGTGAGCCAATTTAAAATAGTTAGTTTCGTATTGATTGTTGCTAGTATCGCATCTTCCTTGTTTCCCTGGTGCAATATTAGCAACAATCAATACGAAACGAACGATTTTAAATTGGCTCACTACTTGAGTAGCCTATTGGCAACAATCAATACGAAACTAACGATTTTAAATTGGCTCACCACTTTAGTAGCCTATTGGTCCCAAGCAAACGATTAACGTACCCTATTCTAGTTGAAATTCTATTACTAAACTATGTTTGTTTTGATTCGCTATGAAAGTTTGACAGATAACATCAGGGGTGTGTGGATTCATGCAGAACATGCAGGGGTGAGTGAAATAGCTTGGGACTGCTTGGGACCGTTGTTCTGGTACTGAGTGAGCCAAAAATAATAATGATTTTCTTCGGGACCCAGTGGTCTTAGAGTTACCTCTATGCTATTGGCCCCAAGCAAACGATTAACGTATCCCATTCTAATCGAAATTCAAGTACTACACTATGTTTGTTTTGATTAGCTATAGTCCTCTACAGCCGGGTTCATATTGGTACGATTTGCGTGTGTTAGTGAGATGAAATTTTTTGTTACCTGTGAGAAATTTTTTGTTTGCTGTAAGAACTGTCATTCTAAAGTAAAAATAAACAACAAAACGAAAACAAACCCTACGCTTGCACGGTAACAGTCAAGTACCCTTTTGTGAGTAAAGGGTAACCCATTTTTGATAAAGGTGGTTTTACTCATTAATGAGTAAATGATTTGAACAACAATGAGTTACTGCTAACAGTAGCTAACAGTTACTACTTAATTGGCACAATGAATTACTCATTAATTAGTGGTGCCGCTTTTATTGACAATGGATTCACTTTTACTCATAAATGGATGTTTGATTCTTACCGTGCACATGACAGTATACGCTAGTGTGTGTAAAATTATGTTATTAGTGTAGTGTTCGTGAGATCCTGCTTGGAGAACTCAATGAAAGTTTGACAGATAAAATGAGGGGTTCGTGGATTTTCCTATGTTTCGAGGGGTACATCGATTTGCTTGGGACCGAAGATAGTACCAGAGCTGAACCAAAAGGTTGAGCACGTTTCTTCGGGACTTACTAGTCTTAGAGTTACCTCTATGATATTAGGCTGGTGCATAAATAGGGTGATCCAAAGTTTTGTAAATAGCATTTATTTTTATTTTTTCTTGAATTTATTTTTTTCGTATTACTTTTTCGTAGAGTGAAACTATATAATTTATTTTTTTATTTTTAAAATGTTTTTTTATTCAATTTTTGATATTATTTGAAATTACTGATGGTTACATTTTATTCTCCCATAGGTGTGGAACAAACCGTAGTTCAAATGGTTGGACATGAGCCGTGATTTTATACGTGTCATGTGTCATGTCGAGGCTCATGTCCAATCACTGCCCGTTAGACTCGCATTTTTTTTCGAATCGGGCTCGCAGGCATTGATTTGTGAGCTTTTGGTAGTGGTTATCATGAGATCGACCACGTGCTTTGGTCATGCACCCTCAATTGTGTTGCTAGATCCGAGTTATCCGTATCCCTCAGGGCTCGAGGAAAACAACCTAGAAACAACTTGGCGAGCCGAGATATCGACTATTGCAATTTAATTTATTGCTCTCCAAACTTTGTGTTCTCGATCCCTACTTTGCCATCCATTTGTTACAATTTGCCGCGATAGCCGCGATACTAACGTTAGTTTTAAGTTATTTTATAATCTAAACAATGAATATCGGCTCCGCAAAGCTACGGCAAATGAGCCTGGAAAAATAAACGCATTATACATAAAAAAAAACATTTATTTGGCACTTTCATATACTGCCCAAGCAACACACATCCATCAAAATAAGTTGCTGCAACTTGATTGTGACTGAAATAAGGTGCATTCAAGTAACCACAACTGTTAAGCGACAAGTGTGCTACTAGGGTGGAAGTCACCATCTTGGGTTCCAAAATGGTGTCAATAATCGATTTGCGGGCTCTACACGTCGTCCCGTTCCGAAAATACCATTATTGTAGAGTATTCGATATTTCATCACATACCGGAAGTCACCAATGATTCCAAAATGGTGTCAAACATCTGTTTCCATCCTCTACACGACGTCCCCGTTCCAAAAATATCCATATTGCTGGCTATTTGACAGTTTTTCACAAACCGGAAGTCGCCATCTTTGATTCCGAAATGGCGAGAATGATCGATTGCCAGCCTCTACAATTCGTTCCCGTTCTAAAAATATGTACCCGTATTGTCCGGCGAACCTACTCAAAATATACTTCCAAGTTTGCTTTTGGCTAAACGTGCATTCCTTAGAAAATACTTGACTTCTTTAACCGTGTTATTTAAATAATCGATGTAAAAAATATCGTTTTATTTGAAAAAAAAAACACGTTTTTTTTTTCGAAAATTGTCGTTTAAAAAAACTTGTAAACAAAACTTGAGTGTATAGCGCTGTTTAATCTACCGCATTTTTGTGTGAAAAACTGCTAATGTTCATGCGTTTATCACGTATGGGCTGTATACAGTGGTGCTGGTGTGATAGCGCTAGTGTACTAGAACTGTACTAAAAAGTAGCCAGCATAATGTAAGCAGGGTGACAGCAGCTACCAGCATGAGATTTCAGGAGTTACTGAAATTCGTGCTAGTTGGTTGAGGCGAGGGGGGCGACACATCTAAATCTCAAGCCTAGATGCTCAACAAATCTCACACTAGCGAATCAATCTTCGAAAAATTATCTTTCATTTCTCGCATCTACTTGCATCGCGCATCATCTTTTTGCAGGAAATCTTCAGAATCGTCATCAATCTTCTTTCTATCTACTCAACGTGCGCGCAGCTAGCCACAGCAAAACACAATCTTTTGTGCATCGTAGATAGAGTCGTCCCCCTCGGGTTGAGGTGGTTGAGCTAGTGAACCAGCGTATATGTAAACACCCCATTATAATGATTTTCAATGTTGAGAGCCTAAGCAATAACTTCGTTAGCATTTAGGCGAAGACAACAAATCAAGAAGACTGGCAACTCTTTCATTTTCTTCGACGAACACTATGAGACAGGTACAATCGCGTCATCTGCCGCTCAAAGGTAAATGCTTCGAACGAATTTGATAGCAAAGATTACAACCTCTGAAGAATGGTTTGTATATTTGTTCATTTTTCTATGCATTGCTTCCACCTTCACTCAAGCGCAGCGCTATTGTATCTGTCGCAAAGTTGCCAGTCTTCTTGGTATGATGTCTTCGAGTTAGGGTAGGAGAGGGAGTTGGAAATTTGTATAGTACTTACAAAAGAAGGAAAAATTTACTGCTTTCCGCTTGTGACAGCTATAAATGTGACCTTTCACATTTATATTTAAAATTCCTTCACTTATCCAATGGACATGCACTAAATCATGTCCAAAACATCCATATTTATGGCGATGGAAAAACATATATATATATATAGAAAAAACATGACGTGGAGAGGGGCTGACAAAATTGAATAAGCAAGCACTAAGGAGAAAATAAATTTCACTTGTTTGGCCGTATCTCAACATTTTCTATGAACTTCTTCGTTTTCAGAAAAAAAACAAAAAAAAAATAATTGGGATATTGTAAATAGACGAAATTTCTCGAAATTCCGTTAACATTGAAAAATTTAACTCAAAATTGCTCTGCTCTAAGCGAAACGAAATGGAACAAAAAACAAGCGAAACAGCTTCAAAATATTCCGTGAAATTCCACGGAATTCCGTTTCGAAGCGAAATAAACGGAATAATTCGATTTATCGCATACCCTTAATTGCTACCCCATTTACTGACTGAACTAAGGGAGGCCCTGATCCAACATTGATTATGTATTTAATTCCAATGGAGCTCTTCACAGGATAAAGTGAGAAGCTTTTCACACTGATTAAAATTATTCAAAAACAACCCTTCAACATGGATGTACTTTCGCTTGAAGCACATTGTTTGCCGGCGTTTTTCGTGTTTTGTTTCTGCATTTTTCATCCAAACCAAAGACAAAAAATAACACCCCAATCGTCGCAGACGCAGTCTACGTTTGTTATGTTATGATCATAAAATTCACGTGGTATCTCGGTTATGCGTCCTTGGTTGCGAAGCTACGGTGCATGGCTATGGAAGCGCGCGGTCAACATCCGTTCGTAATGTTGACAAACGTAAATGTGAGTGCCCTCTGTCAGGAGCCGGCATTCGGGCGGCGCAGGCGTTCCACGGCGCCTGAATTTAGACGGAGGGAACTCATTGTTGGATTCGCTGGCAGATCGTCATTCGTGTCACAGGCAAGCTAGCGTCCAGTCCGTGTTTTTCGCAGTCTGATACGTTTTCCCCTTCCCTTGGACTGAAAATTTTCAATCTTGTGGGTGGAGCGTGAGGTGAAGATTTTTTTTTCGCTTTAGTCAGGTCTTTGTTCTGGTACATATCGAAGGATAATTACAATAGTGTTTTTCACTATCCCGTCGCAATATCAGATGGGTGTGGGATCAAGAAAAATGTCTATCCCATCGCTGTGAAGTGTGAAGCATGCATTCCATTATCGGAGGATTTTCTTTAATGCGAAATAGCGAGCTAATGTCGTAATCGATAGAAGAAGAAGTAAATTGCGGCGTAATCGATTAGTGCGATTGTTAAAAGGAAATTTTTCAGTGCCGGAGCTGCAAGGAAATTTGAATTTTCACTTCCACCCTCCAGGTTCTTACGTTCAGAGGTGTTGCGTGCAAAGTTGATTTTCTTGGCATCGCGTGAAAACCAGAAAACAAGCTATTTGATGCTCGAAGTGCGGAGGAAGTTTTAACAGACCTAGTGGCGTTCTGACGTAAGGTCTGTAAAAGCAATAAAGGAAGATAATCGGTTTCGGTGAGTTTTTGTTGTTGTAGTTACGAATATGGTTGCATAAATTTCGAACCACGGTTAAAAAATTGGCACTGCGTGGGTGGAAGGCGTTTGTGCTAAGAGTGCATATATTAAGGTGGAAAGGGGCCACGCTAACACTTTGATAAGTGGGTGAAGGATAAACGTTAGCAGGCAGAAGATTAGTGAAACATGAGTGAGTGATTAATGTTCTGTTTTAGGTATTCGAATAAGCTGCTGAGGTTATCACTGAAAATACGACCGGGAAACCATCAACGGAAAACGAAAAATAAAAGTGAAACACAAATAAATGAGATTCAACATTTTTCCATATTTGTGGATGGGTGTTTAAATAAATATGCACAGGAATTAGATATCCAGTTTCTGCCTACGATCCAATTACCAACCTAGAAACGGGGTCGAGCTCTTACCGTTTGCGTGTGTGTAAGTAGGAAAAGCTGTGCCGTTGTGTATTTGAACAAGTTCGTCGCGTGTGTGGCACGCTATCACCATGGATCAACATCCGCTTCTACTAGCGAGCGAAAACATCCACGACAGCGGCATCATCGAGGATGCCCATCAGGAATCGGAGGACACTGGAAATGAGGAGTACGGTGACGAGAGCAATTTGGAGTCCAATTTGCGTCGCCGAAAGGGAAAAATCATCTCGTGCGTTGAAAATGGTAAGCAGACTATCCTAGTGCCTAGATATGGTCCGTCAGTGCAGTCATCAGGTACCTAGTAATGTTCTCTTCTCATAAAGTGGTCTATTTTTCCTTGCTGTTCGTATCCTTCCGGTTTGACTTCCGACAGACCAATTGACTCATATTATTGAGTTTAGGTTGACAGCAAAAACAGTATTTGCTGTAGGAGAGATGGGGTTAAAACGGGCTGGCCGAGTAAAACGGATAGGTACTTGTTTCGTCGGAAAAACGTTAACTATCACTATGGACAGTGGCGTAATGTCGCGAAATTGGTTGAAAATGACGAGAGCCAATCAAGAACGCTCTTTTTTTCTAGCGATATGCAAGTCATTGTTTTTTTTTCCAATGACGATGAAGTATGTTGAGTCTGGTCTAGATATTATCGATCTGATTTTACATCTATATTTTTTATGTCAAATTGACAAAAAACGCATGTATCATTTAAGTATTTCGTACCAAAAAATAATGTGGAGTAGAAATGTTTCTGAAAATGTTATTTGCATTTATTTTTTAAGAAAAATAAAAAAATAACTACAGTGCATTATTAATATTTTGTGAGTTGAAATATTGCCTCGGAATCGCCGCGAAGTTTCATGTTGTTCACATTTCTCAACCGCGAAGTGTTGCTTGTTTTGCCGGAAATTTCCACTGTCCCTAAATATCACTGTTTTGATCTTAACTCTTATAGACGAGTGCACACCGATGGATTTGAGTACAGTCACTATATTCATAGTCTGGTGGAGACAGTGACCGGAGCCGATTCGACCTCGACCTGTCTTTTGCGGGAGCCAATCGAGCATGACTGTTTATTTTTAAATCAAAGTGGTGGAAGTATTGTGATCGTGACGATAATTAAATCGAACAAAAATTATATCAATTCAGGTGCTAATTTATCAATGCGTTTCTAAATGCTTTTTTTTTTGTTTTTCATGGAGAACGGTAGACGGCTAGTGCGTAGACGATAAATAATATACTTTTTGATAGATAGATTTCGGACGGATGGAATAGTAATTTTACAGGAATGCGTTGAAAGGTTCTTTTAACAGATTTTCTCCTATTTCGTAAAAAAATGTGTACATATAGAAAGAAAAGTTGTTGAATATTACATCCAAAGAGCTGCACAGAGGTCATTCCGCTGGTTGTGTAATATATATCTGAGTACTGCAAACTAATTCAAAATGCTTGTCATCTGGGAGCCGAGTCAAACTGTCAAACAGGAGCCGAACATTCAAAAGAGCTCAGAAGTCACGTAGGTAGTTGCTGTTTGAACCACAAGTAAAGGTGTTACCACCTACTGAAAACAAATTAAGAATTATAATTATGAAACTGTCGAAACACCCACCTTAATAGGCGGATAATGTAAATCATCGAGCGTGATGCTCGAAAAAGTGTTTTTATTTGATATTGATAATGCCAAAACTGGGTTGCTGAAATAAGAATGTAATCAAACTTTATAAGAGTCATGTGAGCTTTGTGGGCAGGTGCACTCCCATCACCAATACGTTATTTCTGGAGTAGAGGAGGAGGAGCCAAGAGTTTATTTGACAGCATGTATATACAATTTCGTGAGCTGTTTCAGCAAAACAATTTGAAACTTCGGAAGATTTTGAAAAATAAAATCGGCTGATTTCGCAGTACTCAGATATATATTAAATTGTATGTACCGTAAGATTTGATAAAGAGAAACCAATCGTTGAGATATTGTCAAAAGTCCAACACTGCTTCTTGACGCCAAACTCGGCCTAGGGATTCTAAACTCGGCCTAACGCATTGAAACGCCAATGAATTCACTTCGGCCTATCGGATGAAGATAAAAATCGATTCGGTCGGAGCACTTCTTTTGTTTTTGGGAATAATGGGTGTAAACCTTCATATCACGCGTTCTCATTGACTTCGTTCCGTAGCTTATTAACTAAAGTATCGTACCAAACGCATAATTGACTTGTTAACTCTGAAATCATGGATTTATTTGAAGTTTTCTGATCGATAGGCCCAAAATGGGCGATTAGGCCGAAGTAGTTCTCTACCCTATACCGGTTTGGCGAACAAAATTGCATCCGTTGACATCATACATCAGTTTAAATTACGTTGATCGATATAACAATATTTTTGTTGTGAATTGATATTGATACTGCACAGATAAAATAAGATGTTGCGTGTAACGAAAACGTTCTGCAAAAGCTTGAGCATTTTCACTGGGTGCCAGATTATTATTGAAGAAATTAAAGTTGTCAGTTTGAAGGATATTATATCCGCCAGATAATTAATATAGTGACTATAGATTTGAGCTCACTCACTCGAGAAAAAGTGACACAAGCTGTGGGCAATGTTTACTAATCATGAACACTAAATCAGGCGTAACATTTGATAACGGCATAAAAGCTTTTGTAAACAAACTTTTTAAGGCCCTTTACACGCGAATCGAAGTACGCTCACGCAAACCAACAACATCATCGGATAGGGGCAACTCTCAACTTTCCGAAAGTGCTATTGGTTTGCATGGGCGTACTTTGGTTCGCATGTAAAGGGCCTTAAAAAGTTTGTTTACTAATGCTTTTGTGCCATTATCAAATGTTACGCCTGAAATATTCATTAATAATTGATCATGAACATTTAGTGTTCATTATTAGTAAACATTGTCCGCACCTTGTGTCACTTTTTCTCGAGTGGGTGAACTCAAATCCACCGTTGCACTCGTCTATTGCTACCTTATGACAAACGGAACATTCAGTGATTTTTAAAACTATCAAATAACTTAAAAATTAACAAAACATGTGACGTCATCACCAAAATACATTCTGATGTCATTTTTACGTAGTAGCACAGAGAACAGCCATCCAAGTCATATTCCTAACCTCCTCCCGGAGGCTTTTCGAATTCCTGGATGAACGGATGCAGGGTAAACAGTGTTCAAATCTTACTCAACCTCACTTAATCATTTGAAGATACGCCGCCAGTGAACTCAACAAAAGTCAGTTTTGCTCCTGACTACTATGCCCTCGACTATGCCCAGTTAAAATTGGAACGAAAAGCGGTTGTAGATCTACAGGAAACTGTAAAGGAACTTAGTTTTTTTTTCGAAAATAATGGTTCCGCGAAAACTCAATTGATTTTCGTTGCTTTGTCTTGTTTGTTTTGAACTAATTTGACAGTTCATTTGGATACACGGTCAATAAGATCACCCTAAATTTTAGTTCAGTTAATGAGTTATAATCGCAAAAAGTGATAACTCGAGTCGCACCATTCCGTATGGCAGCGCTAGTGTTTCTAACGTATTTTAATTTGAATTCTTACACATAATTTTTCGAAAAAATTGTTTAAGCTTGGATGTCTGTGCTCTGTTAAAGAGGATAAAAACTGTTATAATTAGGGTTTCCAAATTTTCCGGGAAGCAACGTTTATGTTAAAAATATTCGTTTTGACAAAAAAACGTAAATATTATTAGTAATTGACAACTACCTACCTATGTGAAGAAAAATAGGGGTTTTAATCTTATTTCCATCCTACTAAGCACAACCCGCACTTAACCTCTCTTTTTCGATCGGATATGAACCGAAAACGGCCATGATTCTGCCATAGATGACTTCCAAATTTATTTACCTTTCTATACGAACCGTTGGATTTGATAAAGAGTTACACATTATTGAGATATTGTTAGAAATCTAGATTCTTGATTCAAAATTCGTTATACATACGTGTTTCAATTCTGCCCTAACGCATTGAAACACCATTGTTTTAAAAAAGATGGGAAATAAATGAATAAAGATCTGTAGACATCAGGGTATCTAAATTCCAGCTATTTTTCGGGGTCGATTAAGGTTGGTCTGTGGGTGGGCGTCTTGGTTCGGGATCCGGGGGTTCCAGTTCAGTGGAATCGGGAAAACTTTGTGATATTGGCGTTGTTTTGTCGTTTCTGACGCTGGTCCTCATTCTAAATTTTGTGTCGGGGCAGGGGAAGCATCCGGAATGGATTCGGAATCTATTTCGGATTTTATTTTTTCTTTCGACGTCGGGCCTGGGTAAGAGTGATATGGGGATTGGCATCAGAAACGGCAGAGTGACGTTGACATTGTGGGGTTCTGCCGGTTTTGTCGTGCTGGAACTTTATTTGGACACTTGGTTTGGTAGGTTTCCGGATTCGGTTGAGTTCCGAGGAATAACTGGAGCAGCTGGAGCTAAATTCTGCTGAATGTAAACAAGAAGGAAAAAAGAAGGAAAGATACGCTAAAAATCGTTTATCCAAATTCCATGTTGTCGAATAAACATGCTTTTGAATTTAATTTGAACGTAGATCTTTTTGATTACTACATGTTTTCAATTTAATTTGAATTATTCACATGTTAAGAGAAGGAACATTTATATTTTTGATTTAAATGAACAAAATTCGTTTTCGTGTATAAGAGTTGAAAATGTTTTTGTTTTTGGAAAACAAAATCAGGGGAAAATTGTATTAAACGCGTCAGCGGGGTAGTGTGAGCAACAGCAATATTTCATGAACATTTCAAACATAAAGTTGTTTAAAGTAACACTTCCATTGCTAGACAGTCGAAACGGTTCATAATTCCGAACATTTCAATGACTAGCAAAATTCTTGAGTTATCAAAAAAGAAATGTGCAGTTGCATTTTTCGGAAAATTGTGAATATATGTGATTTCCACTAAGATGAAAGTGGAACTTAATCTAATCTAATCTAATCTAATCTAATACAAACGTAGCCAATACGAGAAAGTATCCTGGAAAATTATTAGGTTAGATGAAGCCTAATAATTTTTGTCAATATTGATGTTGATATCTCCGGAGTGATTTGAGATTTGGGCGTAATTGCTTTTGTAAACAAACACGTCAATTACTGATTTCTCTTGAATAAAAGCTCAATCTCACAAACAAACTATACCAAATGATAGAGGAATCATTCCTCTACCTCATAGTGTTATTACTTTTTGAGATTGAGCTTTTATTCGCGAGAAATCGGGGATTGA